ATTGCAAAAATAGATTGCTTCTTAATTGCCAGTGAGCGGTAGCTGTCAGTGATCTCACACCGCCTCCAGTCACCCCACCTCTGTTACCACCTTCCTCAGGTTGTTCCTGCTTCACAGCGGGTTTCCTCACTTGCACGCCTTTCCCCACCGATGTTCAAAATGTGTGACTTTTTTTCATCATGTCTGTCACGGCAGTGAAACAGGAATTTGGTTCCAATACCACATAATTAAGCCCCGTGAGGTAACCACAATGTTTATAAATCTAATAAAGAAAATCTATGTAAATAATATAAAAGTTTGTGAGCCAGAGATTTGAAGTAAACCATTTACTCCCCAGGAGCAAATTAGTCAGTGAGAGCTCTAAAAACTCATTAGGTCACTAAGATTTCAGTTGGGCAGCCCCTTTGCATTCCAGAATATTCCCTGAGCCTCATTTCAGCTTACTGTGTAATATCTTCGTCGTACCTAATTCAGGGATTTTGCAGCTCTGTTGCCATCAAACATTGATTTCCACAACATGGTCTAAGGTTTAACAACTGCTAAAGCTGAACAATGGCAGGTTTCTTCCGTTAAAAAGATGTTCTCACTTTTATGTTTAACTGTCTCTAAGTTGACTTCAGTATAGACGACAGTGTCCTATAAAATTGATTCCTGTATAAGGGCAGTTAGTTAACATTTGAAGTAATTGCTTCTGAAATCCACACTCCAGAAGAGGTTAATTAGCCTAAGTTCCCTAACCAGAGACCACACTACAAAGGCAGTTAACACAAAGCCTTTCAATATCATTATCTATACTAACCCCAAGTTTTAATCATTAGCATAAGTTGTATTAGAGATCATTTTTAATTGAGAAAATGGATCATGTTTAAGTAATGGACAGATAGATTTATACCAGCCTCTCGGCCCTTGTACAACTAGGGCATGTACCAGCCAGGGATTGGCCAGTAAAAGAGACCACTCTAGGTATTTCAAGTAGGAGGGATATAGTCCAGGGATTTGAAGCTGCATGGACCTATTAGAAGGTCTGGGGAAGTGAAGATGAGTGAAGAACTCAGGCGATCAGGAAGTGCAGGGATTAAAAGTAAGGACAGCTGATGATCTGCCCTTAGTGGGTGAGGCTGCAGCGGGATGCCTGGTAGCCACTCCCCAAATCTCGTGTCTTCTTTCTGCAGAAAGGTATGCCCCTGGCTGCAGCTGCCAATGGGAATTTGGTTTATCCCTCCCTTTTACCTTCTCATCAACAGACTATGAGCCAGAACTTCTGCTGGCAGGAGAGTTTTTGAAATGTAGTTTCCTGGCTTCTAGCCCCACCTAGAAAGGGAGAATCTAAAAGAGTAAGGATGATTTTGATGTTAACAAGCAGCATCAGGCGTAGGGTGTAAAAAGGTGGCCAGCCCAGTGTTGGGGAGGAAGAAATTCTCCTCCACCCTTCTTGGTTCTTCTGGCTTGTCTAAGAATTAAATTGACTTGACATGAAACAGAGTCAGAGGAGAAAAATCAAACAGAAGTCTCATAACATGTGTGCAGGGGAAAGCCTCAGGAAAAACTGAGTAACTCAACAAAACGTCAAATCCCTCACTCACTTTAAATAGCATCTTCAGCTAAAGGCAAAGAGAATGTTGAGGGTTAGTCCTTTGGGACTTCAAAGGAGAGGAAGGTAATTTTTACCTGGAGATGGAAAGGCAAATGTTTGGTAAATAATTGTTTGCTGGGACCTGCAGAAACAATGAGACACAGAGTGGACTCTGATCTTTAAGCCCTGCCTGGGGGAGCTTCCCCGACCACACCTGCCCATGCATGTTCTTTGCAGATGTCCTTGTAATAGCTCTTCCTGGAACAGGCCCTCTATCTACATTCTTTTAGGCAGTTAGGAGGAAGGTCAAGCTTCCTTCCCGAATTTTTTGGGTCTTTATTGTTTTTAAGCTCAAACTAACCCACATGGCAAAGAGACATTTTGGAGTGGCAAAATTTGTTCCCCTCCACCAGCATCCTTTTGAAGTGGTGTCTTAGACCTAGAACAACCTTCTCCAGTAGCACTTACTGTGATTATGAAAATGGTCTGTATTTGCACAGTCCAATATGGCAGCCACCAGCACCGTGTGGCTATTAGGCACTTGAAATGTGGCTAGAGGGATCGAAGAATTGGATATGTAGTTTTACTGAAATTTTATTAACTTAAATTTAAATACTACACGTCACTCGTGGCTACTGCATTGGTCCTTGCAGGTCTAGAACTCTACTCCTGCGCTAGCTCCCGTTCCACTAAATAGAAGATATTATCTGATCCGACCTGGTGTCCCTGATCCGACTGTCTGAATATTTGTTGTGTTTAGTGTGTGTTGAAGGTACTTGTTAGAGTGACTATTTGATGGAGTTGGAGAGAGTTTAGAGAATTGGTCATCGGTGAGACTTGCTTTGACCTTAATGTACAACAGGAGCAAGGTAGTGGGGAGGCCACTGATGGTTGCCTACAGAATCCAGTCACTGCAACCACCACTTAGCCTGATCAGTTGGCAAACTTGCACTTTTCTCCCACAAATGTTTCCCAGATCTTCAGAATCTGCAGTCTCTTTACTGTTAGCAAATACTAGCAGATGACAAAACAAAGACTACATAAATATTAATATAAAAATCCAGACTGGGAGAGGGTAGAGCTCAGTGGTAGAGTGCATGCTCAGCATGCACGAGGTCCTGGGTTCAATCCCTAGTACCTCTATTAGAAATAAATAAATAAACAAACCAACCAACCTAATACCGCCCCCTAAAGATAAAACCAAGTGAAAATCCAGATACGCTAGCTGCCCTCTACGGGGCACTTTTCAAAATGTGAGCATATGCTTGTGGTATTTTTTAAAAATTCTTACACATAACACAGATTTCCTATGTATAACATTATTGCTAATTTATATGGTTGAATCCTCATTTCATAGTGTTACAAAGACAGCCCAGTGTTCTACAAAAGAACTCTGACTGCCAAGGGTTTTACCAGTTCAAGAATTGCAGATCTGCTTGCTCCTTAGACAAGCATTTACCAGTTCCTCTCTATTTAGTCTTCCCGGAATGCTGGGCTCCTCATACTGGACCAAAGCAGGTGCTTCCATGAATACCTGACACCCATTTTCCTGCCATGCTGAGAAGAACATCAGCAAATAAGACTGTCTCTTATTTGTTTGCCTGGCAGATAAAGAGAATACTGATGGCTTAACTGTTGCTATTTTTCATTTTTCTTATCCTTGAACATTTTCTATCTGTCTTTCTGCCTGTGCCATCATTTAAAAATTGCTCACAAGCTCTCAAAAAGTGGTGTCACTTATTAGCTTCAGAACTGAGTATCATGGAAATGATGCCACATTATTTATTAAACATTCATGGAATTCAGTTTACACAAACTCTGGCATCCTCATTAATTCTCTCTTTACCTGATGGTGGATAAAACTAGTTCAGAATTGTCTTCGGAATGCTGTAAATTCTATCCTAAGGCGAAAAGCCAAAGGAAACCAGTCACTGGGGGCGTTTGCTTCGTCAGCAGCCTTCATGGTATTGCTTTCTAAATTATCCTTCAGCCTCAACACAATTCACATTTATCCAGTTGCACCGAGGCATCCTGGAACTTGTGATTCGCTGTTGCCGTGGTTCTTCACGGGGCGTTCCCTGGGATCACAGCCCCTCGGCATTAGATGCTGGTTTTCCTGTGGCCCCAGGGATGGACTGGAGGGAGAAGCAGCAGGAGGGGGGATGTGTGTCAGTTCCTGGGGGTATCCCTCCATACAGCCGGCTTGGAGGTGGGGGCGGGTGGTGGAAGCGGCTTCTCCTTAGACGCCTGCGAGGAAACAGACAATTTGTATGGGTTACAACGACTCAAGTCACCCGGCGGGGCGGGGAGGGGGAGAAGCAAAGGGAGGTCAGGAAGAGACTCAGTCCAGAAATCCTGAAGGTGCCTTCGGGGGCCTTGTCGTTCTGCCCCTGTATTACCATATTCACGGATTTTCTTATTTAGGGGCCGCCCTCCTGTAGCTCCTTTTAACCGCAGCCCCTCCGACAATCAGACTGTGTAAGCGTTGGTCCTGCTGGCTCAGCACCCCCGTGGGACTTGGGGGTGGTGATAATACCGCTGATGGACGGGACAAGACGTTGCTTCCAGACGAGCCCTCCGTTTGGAGTGGGGAGTGCTTCGGTCTCATTCAGCTTCCCGTTGAACCGTATGAGGCTTCGATGCCCAGCTACAGACTCGCCAATCCGAAGTTGTCAGCTCAGGGTGCGCTGCTTTGATAACTTGATTTACATTCAGATAAAAACCGTCACTTTCTTCAGTGTAAGCATCAGACCTTTTGGTCTTCGCTGCAGGAAGAGCTGAGATTACGGCAAGCGTCTGTCTCCTAGAGCATCTCCCAGACGCGGGGCCCCTTCGCGATCCTCAGCTCCTCGAGGGAGCCTGGTAACCCGAGCCCAGTTCGCAGGTTCCATCAGTGTGCCCAAGTGGGCCGTGGAAATCTTTATGCTCTCTCTGCCCTTGGTAAACTTGATGATGCTGAAACATTCTGTTTTGATTCTTAAATTGGGGAAAAAGAAAAAAAAACCTATCTAATGAATAACGAAGCATAACCAAGTAGGCACTTTTACTGGCTCCTGAATTACTTGTTTACATGGAATGATGGTGGAATTGGTTGGCTTTTTACAAGAGTGATTAAAAGGGCTTTTGGATTTTACTTCCTAAACAGGACTTGCAAGGCTTTTAATGCTTTCAAAAGTGAAGTTGGACCCAAACTGAGCTGTCGGTCAAGGTTGTTGTTGTATTTTTTTTTTTTCCCTTTTAAGCAGACTTGAAATTGTTCTTGGAATCGAACTGACCTTAGATCGCTAAAGGGAGCCTGGCTGGTGCTTTCCAAAAAGCAGACACCACGTTCCCTTGTCTTAGTGCTCATACTGGTCTGTTCCCCGTTACCTATATTGAGGGCGACCGAGGGGCACTGGTAAAGCCCTCTTGTCTTTTCTCTTTGCAGGTCTGTTGATCGGTGCTGGCTGTGCCCTCTACCCTCTGGGCTGGGACAGTGAAGAAGTCCGGCAGACTTGTGGCTACGTTTCTGGCCAGTTTGACCTGGGTAAGTTCTCACTGGCACACCTTTTAAAAAAGAAGCTTTTCTGATCACTCCTAGAAGCAGAAGGTGGAAAAGGGACGGGGAAGAAAAACACATCCCAGTATTCAAGTCCGCAGTTGTATGTAACAATACACAACCATGCACTTATCCAGTTGTTCAGGGAAGAACTCTTTGTATGCTACAATTTGCCTGTAGTAGGGGAAGAACTGAAGATATACAGAAAAGAAATGATCCTTGCTCTGCGTAGTTTATATTCGTTGATTAATTCATTCAAAATCATATATTTATGAGACATTGCATGCACTAAAAATAACTCCTTCCGTGAAATTCACAGTCTATCTGAGAAGATAAAGCAAACAAAATGATAAAAAAAAAATGACAGTCAGGGCTTAGGAATTTAAGCAATTTCACTCCAGGGTAATATATAACTTTGTGAAAGGGCTGGAAATGGAGCTGGGTCTTAAACAAAATGATGCATGTGGATTACCTGTCAGTAGACAGAAGCAGGGTACAGGCAAGGATTACAGTCCAGCCAAGCACAGGGGAGGAAAGAGGAAAACTCAACGGGAGACCAGAGACCCGGGAAGCAGGGAGAGGTGTGAAATAACAGGAGATAGTTCACACGTTGAGTTTTTCTGTTTACTAACCAGAAAATTTTGAATATTTCTCACTGTAGATATAGTGTATTACTTACTTAGCAATCTATAAAAATGTTTTGCATAATATGACATGGTTTGCACCATTATAATTTGTAATGATTAGATAATACGTCCCTTGGTTGATAGACCTACATTTACTTAACCACTTCCTTATTTCTTTCTACTTGGGCATTTTCCCTATTCCAGACTCTGTTATTTTAAAATAGATTTTAAGGAGTAGTTTGATGAATTGAAGTCTTCCCTTTACCAAATTATTTTCTTAGGATGTTTTTCTAAAATTGGTGTTAACCAGACCAAAGATTATGAACCCGTAAAAGACTTATTGCCAAAGGATAGCAAACACATTTTGCCCAGCGTATGGGTAGGCAGATTAAATTTTTGACAGTAAGTGCATAGTGAGTTACTAACTCAAATATCTTACTGCTTTTCACATCAAATATTTCAGTCTTAAGAAAAAAAAATTTGAGGGAATTGGCCTAACAACAGTATTACTATATCCCAAATCATTTAAAAAAAATGTTTTTATCTTTTTATTTATTTATTTACAATTTGAAGGGTCCTTTTTTTTTTTAATTTTATTTTTTAATGGGAGGCTATTTAGGCTTATTCATTTCTTTCGTAACAGAGGTACTTGGAACTGAACCCAGAACCTCTGGCATGCTAAGCCTGCACTCTACCACTGAACTATACTCTCCCCGCTAAAATTGTTATGTTAGAATTTCCATGGAAAAAAAAAAAGACTTTCTGTTAGATACTGAGGATAATGGGCAGATGTGCTCTCATAACAAAAGTCTATGAATTTGAAAGTGAAGCAATTTTTGTTTTACTCAATGGGGGTCAAACACCTGCTCCCCTCATAATAAAACTGACTCTTCCGGTAAAGGAGATGGTCCTCTAAATAGCACCCAATCTGCATGGAGCCTTCCCTTCTCGAAGATGAAGTTCTCCTAAGTCTGGATTAGTCACTGATGGCTGTACCTGCAGGGAAGTGAAAACTGCTCACAAAGTTAACTGCCAGTTTTTCCTTTTCTTTCTTTCTTTCTTTTTTTTTTTTTTTTTGGAAAGCAGACTGTGTCCAGAGGAGGTATTTTAATACAGTGTTTGGCAGTTTTCTTTGTCTGGTATTTGAGGCAGTCTTTGCTGTTTCCCACAGGCCCCAACTTGGTTAGAACACCGTCCTTGCTGGTCTCTGGCCATGTTAATTAGCAGGTTATAATAAGCTCAGATTCTGTTTTTGCCATTTTCACTACTGCACCCCAGTCTTTCACATCTTCTCAGCACTGAGGATTAAATGTTAAAATGTCGCACTTGAAAACAAACACTTGCCTCTTTAGTGATAATAATTCCTTACGTTATTAAACTCACTAAAGCCATTTTAGTAGTTTTAAAATTACAGAGTTGTTTTATTTTTGGCCTTTTTACTTTTACATTCCTTTTAGATTAGATGAAGAGAAAATAATCAACGCTGGCATCATCTACAGAGAAAATGAGTTCTGGTTTCCCTGGAGAAGTATTTTGGGTTTATCAAGTCCTAGTTATCCAAGTTACTATTATTTTTGCAGACTCAAGTGATCTTTTCTTCTGAAGGAAGACCTAAAGAGAAATCTGGCATAGAGGTGTCACCATGCCTCGCCCACCTAACTGCCTATGTTTGCTATCTTTGTAGAAGTGTTACCATTGCCCAGAACACTGACGAGGGCTGAACTTCAGTGGGTCAGTGAAGTCACAGCTTACAGAGCAGACATGGCAGAGAGCCTGGGACCTGGGTTGGGAGCCACCCCGTGTGTGGGAGGATGTGCAGATTTAGTGGCATTCACACTGCTTGCCGGGGCCACACCCTGCCTCTGCCACTTCTGAGAATCTGAGCTTATTTCCGCCTCCTCTCAAAGACAGCGTGTGAACACATCCTCCTTCCAAGGGCTGGGAAGTATTAATGTTATTAAGGTTCATGGACCCCTGATTGTGGAATATGGGTCAATTTCTTGACATGCCATGATTGAACTATGATTACTTTCTTTAGAGCATGTCCTGAAAGAAATCATTGCTTTTGTTTACACTTTGGTGGATTATTTAAGGAGTGCGTTCATTCAATTATTCAGCCAAAAAAATATTTAGAGGGTGTTTACAATGTGCCAGGCCCTGTGGTAGGTGTGGGGGGATATGACATCACCAGCAAATTTTAAAAGACGCTATTTACTATGGAACTTAAAAACTAACAAGGAAGGCAGATGTATTTCAATATATAAATATAAATAAATATATATATATGGAAGGTGTGTTAGAAAGGAAAAGTGTCACACACTGTAAACAGACACTGTGGTTGTCTTGTCAGCACTGTTCCAATATGTCTTACCAATACTATTCTGAGCCAGTGATTGGCAAACATTTCTGTAAAGAGCCAGAGTCAGACAGTGACTATTTTCAGCTTGGCAAGCCATGCGGCCAAGCGTATGGTAGCCTGAAAGACACTTCGTATATGAATGGGTGTGACTGTGTCCTAATAAAACTTTATTTACAAAAACAAATGGTGGGGCTGTAGCTTGAGATCCATGAACTCAACCAAAGCATCTCCCAGACATGCCAGAAATGTCTTCATTCCAGAAGTGCTCATTTATCAATCCTTTTAGCTGGTCAAGATGTAGGATAGTCCAGGACTCTGCACTGAGCAGCCCCATCCAGTCATCCTTGTTGTGCGGTGTCGTGACAGACGATGAAAAGTGCCGTAAATTAAGCTGAGTCATCCCACCTCTTAACAATAGCATGGGATAGGAAGTGAGAGATGTTTCCAGAGGCTTCTGAGGAAGAAGGGATCACCAGAAGCCATGATCTCCCTCCCTCTGGCAGCCACCCCTGACCAGGTGGGATGGCAGGAGGGAGCATCCTCCCGGGGCACAGGTGGGCAGAGAAAGCAGCCTGTGGGCAGGCGCCCCTGGAGCAAGCCTGCCCTAGCAATTTCCAACCTTGCTGATGCACAGTAAGTTCATGTCTTTATAGGCTACAGTTGAAGGGGTGTTTCCTCTTGTAGCTGAAAGCAACCCAACTGGCATTTCATTCAGTTGCTAGATCACGGTCAAGGGGCCCTGACCTCACCTGGGGGCTTCTTAACAAAGTATTATTTTTAGCCAAGCCCTCAAGGCTGTAGAGGAGGTGGGTAGGTAAAGAGTGAGTGTGAGTGTGTTTTAGGGGGACGTGGAGGTAGGTTGCAGGCAGGGCAGGGAGAAGAGTCAGGAAGGAGGCTGAGTAGGCAAATCAGAGGCAGGTAAGAATACTTGGGGGGCTAGGAAGGGCCTCCCAGAGCATTTAAACTGAGTCCAAAAACAGACGTACTAGTTGGGCAAGGAAGGGACTTGTGGTTGTAACACAACGTGGTAGGGACCTAACAGAATCTACTTTTTTTAAATGCCTCCTTTGCTTAGGTGACTGGGGGAGAATTTGTTTTACAGGCACTGAAAACAATTTTACAAGGCTATTGATGATTTTTTTCAAGCATTGTCTCATGTTTTATCTAGTGCCGAGCCTTGAAGCGATTTTGCAAAAATACCCACTTTTACAAATCAAAGACTGTTCCTCAGCTTACCTTCAGATCACACTTATTTATGAAGAAGCAAGGAGCAAATGTGAATACACACATGTTTAAAACAAGGAAACACGAATTTAAAAACAGACTGCCTGATGAATTTCTAAATCCCCACTGAAACTGTAGAGCTCGCCTGGGCAGCAGTGCCTAACCATTAGCACTAGAAATAGAGGTTGACTGGTTGAGAAGGTGGATTTTTAGTTTCTGTGCCTCAGATATTATGAATCTCTCATTTGTGTTTCAAACAAGTATCCCAGGTGATTCAGGTGACCATACTTTAGGGAAAAAAAGCCCTAATGTATATAGAAAATTAATTTCTTGCACTTTGCTAGAATTTAGTTCAACATTCATTTTGTTGTATATGAATTAGGATGCTTTAGCTTTAGTTTACAAATATCTTCTTAAACAAAGAAGACGTTTAGGATCTCTTATTATAGGAAAGCCAGAGCCAAAGTGAGCTTCAGACTTAACTAATCCAGGGGCTCGAAGGTACCGTCCCTCTCAAAGTTGGCTTCATCTTATGGATAAAGAAATAGTGGTATTTATATATACAATGGAATACTACTTGGCCGTAAAAAAGAATAAAATAATGCCATTTGCAGCAACATGGATGGACCAGGAGATCATCATTCTAAGTGAAGTAAGCCAGAAAGAGAAAGAAAAATACCATATGATATCACTTTATATGTGAAATCTCAAAAAAAAAAAGACACAAATGAAATTACAAAACAGACTCACAGACATAGAGAACAAATTTATGGTTACCA